CGAGGGAGGAAGGGCGGGGAGCGACACAGGGAGACCTAAGCGGTGGTGCCAGAGAAGGGACGGGTGAGTGAGGGAACGACACGAGCAAGTTGCAGCAACCTGGGAGGACGCACCAACCGGAGGGGAGGCGGTGTCTAGGGTAAACAGACCGGACACCGGGTCCCTGGGGAACGTCGCAATGGGGGAACCTGAGACAACCTCAGAACAGACAGCGAACCGCTCGTGCCCGGGGAACGTGGTGGTGACGCCGAGGTCCTGGAGACAGCCGACACCAACCAGGTTCCTCGAGAATGAGGGAACGTGGAGGCCTGTAAGGGAGCCCGAGGGAACGGCTGGACAGGGAAGGGACGTAGAACTGCGAGCGACGACAGGACCCGCAGAGGGGTCGGCGAGAGAGACGACAGCTGGCGTAGCAAGCGGCGTAAGTGCGGAACGGTCGCGGAAGAAGCAGGCAGAAGCACCGGATTCGAGAGTGAAGGACACCGCAACAGTGGCAGGGGCGGGGAACGGAGCCGGTGCAGAGACGAGGCTAGACAAACTAGGCAGTCCTACGCCTGACGCAGCAGGGGAGGCTAGGCTACACAACGGTGCAACACCTAAACTAGAGAACACAGGATAATAAGATCCAGCAACACTAGCAGCGTCAGAATACATGGCATGCAAAGCAGCACCTATCTGATCCATGTCTAACTCAAAGATCGGCACGCCCTGGCGGAGCAGGCTGTGCCAGTCTGGGAGGTCCGGGGCCGGGCCAAAGCGACGACGAAACAGATCGTCGAGGCGGCGGAAACAGCGGGCAGTCGGGTGCGGGCGGCGGCACAGAGTGCCGCGAAGGGGCCCGGTCTGAAGCTGGTACTGGCAGGTGACAGCACCGGAGCCGCTGGTAGACGCCAAGCTGCGCGGGCCGCCACCACTGCCACCACCTTCTGAGGAGCCGGGCCAACCAGGCGGGAGGCGAGCCCACTGCTGCGGGGGCTGCGGCTGGGACGGCGGCTGCTGCTGGGACGGCGGCTGCGGCGCGGGCTGCTCCTGCTGCGGCTGGGGCTGCTGCTCCTGACCACCAATGCTAGTCCCCCAAGACCGACTACTCTCACGACCACCAGCACCACTACCTGCACCACCACCCCTACCACCCTGGCGACCACGGCCACCGCGGCGCGAGCGCTGCTGCGGGTGGACCGCAGCAGCCGTCTCGGTGAGAGGGGTCGCCGTGGTGACCGCAGCCGAAACGTCAGTGAACGTGCACTGGGAGGGGGCACAGCCGTGAAAGATAGAGACTGCCGGCGCACCGCTCGACTGAGCGATAGTTTGCTGGCGAGTCTCGATCTCGGTGAGGGTGTCGACAAAGGCAGTGAGAGTGAGGTCAGCCGGGTGCAGGCTAAGGAAGTGATCGCGAGCACTAGTGAGGTGGTTTGGCAGGCGCATGGCAATAAAATAGAGCGTCATGCAGAAAGGGGGGGGGAGCGCAGTGAGCTGGGCAGCAGTGCTGGCAGTGCGATAGCGGGTCTCTAGAGCACGCAGGTGAGTGGCAAAGTCTGCGACGGTAGGGAAAGCTGCAAGGTCTGGGAAAAGCATAGGGAAAAGCAGGCGACCAGCAGAAGCAGACGCGGGTGTGGAATAGCGGGCAATAACAGCGTCTAGGTAAGCTTTGGCCGTCTCAATAGTAGCAAAACGCGAGCGCTCAGAGACAGGAAGGGCATGGCTAATGGCGACCTGAGCGACTGCATCGCGGGAGTCCCAGACCGCACGGGCAAGCGCAGCAGTAGAGAAGGTCTCACGGTCATCAGATGAGGGATCAGCAGGGAGGGGGGCAGGGACAGGGGGGCGGGGGAGCAAGCCGTCAACATGGACAACCAAAGAGTGGCCATCCTGACGCTGACCTGTGAGGTGGCGGCGAAGATCGGAGAGCCAGGCGGCGAAGTCAACCGCATGGCCCTCGGCGTCCAGTCGGAGCATAAAGTCCGCCATCGTGCAGGGTCAGCGGCACAGCTCCACAGGAACTCAGCTACAGCCCCCTCCAGCACAGTGGCCACGAAGCGCCTCAGCACGGGCGAGCGGAGGAGACGGAGCCCGAGGCGGCACAGCAGGACGGGCCGGGGCGTAAGGGTCAGGCAGGTACGGTGGGGCCAGGCAGGCACGGCAGGGCCAGGCAGGCGCGGCGGGCCAGTCAGGGGCGGCGGGGCTAGGAGGCACGGCGGGGCTAGAAGGCGCGGCGGGGCCAGGCAGGTGCGGTGGGGCCAGGTAGGCGCGGCAGGGCCCGGCAGGCGCGGCGGGCCAGTCAGGGGCGGCGGGGCCAGGAGGCGCGGCAGGGCCTGGCAGGCGCGGCGGGGCTAGGCAGTGCGGCGGGGCCAGACAGGCGCGGCGGGGCCAGAAGGCGCGGCGGGGCTAGGCAGGTGCGGCGGGGCCAGGCAGTGCGGCAGGGCCAGGCAGGCGCAGCGGGGCCAGAAGGCGCGGCGGGGCAAGGCAGGTACAGCGGGGCCAGGCAGGCGCGGCAGGGCCAGGCAGGCGCTGCGGGCCAGTCAGGGGCGTCGGGGCCAGGAGGTGCGGCAGGGCCAGGCAGGCGTGGCAGGGCCAGAAGGCGCGGCGGGGCCAAGCAGGTGCGGCGGGGCCAGGCAGGCGCGGCAGGGCCTGGCAGGTGCGGCGGGTCAGTCAGGGGCGGCGCGGCCAGGAGGCGCGGCAGGGCCGGGCAGGCGCGGCGGGGCCCAGGAGGGGCGTGACGGGCTAGGAGGCGCGAGAGGGGCCCAGGAGGGGCGTGACGGGCTAGGTGGCGCGCCAGGGGCCCAGGAGGGGCGCGACGGGCTAGGAGGCGCGAGTGGGGCCCAGGAGGGGCGCGACGGGCTAGGAGGCGCAATAGGGGCCCAGGAGGGGCGCGACGGGCTAGGAGGCGCGAGTGGGGCCCAGGAGGGGCGCGACGGGCTAGGAGGCGCGACAGGGGCCCAGGAGGGGCGTGACGGGCTAGGAGGCGCGGCAGGGGCCCAGGAGGGGCGCGACGGGCTAGGAGGCGCGACAGGGGCCCAGGAGGGGCGCGACGGGCTAGGAGGCGCGAGTGGGGCCCAGGAGGGGCGCGACGGGCTAGGAGGCGCAATAGGGGTACAGGAGGGGCGCGATGGCCTAGGAGGCGCGGCAGGGGCCCAGGAGGGGCGCGACGGGCTAGGAGGCGCGACAGGGGCCCAGGAGGGGCGCTACGGGGCCTAGGTGGGGGCGGCGCGACGGGGCCTAGGAGGAACGGGCGGAAGCGGTAGGTGGGGGGGGGGGTCGAACCTACAGGTGATACCATATCAAAGGAAAAACTGAATGATTGAATAGAGGGAGAGAAGGGTATATACCTAAGAGTGTTGTACCCTCTAAGAGGTGACCCTATACAGTCTATACAAATATGGATTATACATATATTTGACACAGTACTGGTATGTGTGTCTCAGGGTCCGTACGCGCTGCGCTCTGAAAACTCAGTATCCGCAAACTGCGAAGTCTGAGATTCTCAGGAATAAAAAACATATAACTCTGAAGGGTTCAGCATTCAGAAAATGGCAAGTCTGAAAAATGAGGATCGGCCAAAAAATTGGTCTGAAATTTCAGACAATCAGACTAAAATAGTCTGATAAAATCAGCCCTGCTCAAGACCTCGTCAGGCCGGCGTAATCATTACGCTCGTCAAAAGGCTGAAGACTTACAGTCACATCGGGGATTACTTTTAATGACTGTTCGACAACGATAAAGGGAGGGGCTTCCTTTAGAAGGTGGGAGAGTGTAAGGAATTACGATTCCTTATTAGGGCTCGCCACAGCGAGTACACGCGAACAGCGCACGTCCGCAGGCTCGGCCCTTGGTTATCGCGCCAAACCAGCCCCCATCGACCTTTTCGGCCCCAACCTGACCCCGAGTTGCCCCGAACCCGTTCTGACCCCGTCACCCTCGGACTATCGAGCCCTTGACTGGTCCAACCCTCAACATTCAACCTGGTCAACTCGCACTATATAAGCCCTAGGTCTCATTTAGATAGGAAACATTGTAATCACGTTCCCCTATAGTATCCTGCGCTACACTCTGAGTTATAAGTCATAACACTCTCCAAGTTCCAACTACATGCCCATCGACTCGAGCCACGTTTGCCGAAAACAAAGCGAAGCGCGTCTTGGGAGGCCAACCATCTGGCCGCGTCGCAGATTCGTGGCTTGTGAGGGAGGAGGGTGAGGTGGAGAGGAGCGACGGCATTTCAAAACTTCCCTGCGCTGCTGACACTGGCTGTCGCCCCTTGGTCAGTGGGAAAGCTGAGGAAATAGCGCGCTTCGAAGAAGATTGAGAAGGTTTTGAAACGTTCAACTATTTTTGCGCGCGATGTATGGCATGACCTTGTTACCCAAAACGGTCGACTCTCCCTACTGTACTCATTTCGGTTTTGATTTGACGAAATGTGGAAATGAAATTCTTGTCTGTTGTGTAAACATTTTCCTCCGCCGAATACAATTTATGCGCGTGCACGCATTCGCGACAAAAGGACTGCCCGAGGCCCTCGACAAAGCTCTACACCTTACACCCGACATTGGAAAACCTTGTTTACACCTTACACCCACTGAATGTATTTGGACGGGAATATCAATTAGGGAGGACCCAATTAGAACTGACTCGAGCAGAGATTTTATGGACATCAGGTGTAAATCGATGGTTAGTGGCCACGGGCAGTACTTTTGTCGCGAATCATGAAATGCGTGCACGCGCGTAAGTTGTATTCGGCGGAGGAAAATGTTTGTACAACAGACCAGAATTTCATTTCCACATTAAAACCGAAACCGAAATGGGTACAGCAGGCGGAGTCGACCATTTTGAGTAAGGGGGCCATGCCATACATCGCGCGCAAAAAGGGTCGACCGTTTTAAGACCTCTTCAATTTCCGTCGAAGAGCGCGATTTCCTCGGGAAAGTTGTGTCAAACACCTAACCTCTCCCTTCCCTTCATGCCTGAAAACGCTGAAGCGAGCTGCCAAACTGGCTCTCGCTGTTCACGAGTTCACTACCTTATCAAGCATACTAGGTGCTTGCAGTCGAAGAGGGATGAGTCATCGACGCCTCCTTTTCTGTTCGCCAAACTTACGAGGTTGACCGCACAGGTAGGGCGAAACAGTTGGACGCTGTCCACCATGAGGCAGCAGTCCTCTTCGATGAGTCGCCCTGATATGACGCGGCAACATTCACATTGATGTAGACTGAGAGACCTCTCAAAGGCTCCTTAGGTCAAACCCGCTTAGACCAATTAGGCAACGTCGAGGCTTGCTTATTTTCGATCTATCGACTCATAGACAGCCCACTTTCCAGCGTGCGCGGTCGCTCCCATGGCGTCCCCGCGGGCCCCTTCAGCAGCGGCGCGCCGACTAGGGCTGCACAGATCTCACTGGATTGATCCACGACGCCCCGTCGTGTGCTGCGTTTTGGTGATTGCCGCGCTACATAGCAGTCTGGCATTAGTAGACGGCGAGGGGTACCGAGAGGGCCTAGGACAGTTGCAGCGTGAGAGAGGGACGTTACCGGCGCGGGTGTTAACGGCGCGGCAGCAGCAGCAGCAGCAGCAGCAGGGTGGTGGCAGCGTGACGCAGTTGTATCTTCTGCCCGACAACCCGTACGGCGCCAAGTGCCTGGACGGCAGGTACGGCGCTTGTGCAGGCGACAGCGACAGCAAGATGTGCGCAAATACGAAATGGAACGAGGTCGATGGGGGACGTGGGAGCACGCACAGAGTCGCTTAGTGTTTTCTACAAGCATATGATATCGCGTCTCACTCCGCTCCCTCTGTCTTCCTTTGCGTCTTGATGTCGCGTTGCCGGTTGAGGGCGATTCTCGGTCCTCTCGCTGCTACTCCTGCTCCCTGCACGCCGCGCCATGCGTGCACACGTGAGCCGCGCGGCCTGCTTTTCGATGGCTCATCATGTCTTGCCTCGCCCTCCCCATCCTCCCCCGCATCCCCTCTTATCTCCTCGCCACTCCCTGTCCCCCCTGTCCCCTTCCCCCTCGCGCGCCTTCCCATCGTGTCACTTGTCCCCAGCCCCCCGGGGTACTACCACAGGCTGGGCTATGCGGCGGGCAGCGTGGCGTGGCACATCCACTTGCCGGGCGGCGGGTGGTGCACGTCCGTGGCGGGGTGCGTGCACCGCGCGCAGACGGACCACGGCAGCACGCGCTCGCGCCCCAGATTCATCGCGCGGGGCAACGACAGGGACGAGGGCAGCGCGGTGAGCGGGTGGCGATGGGTGGGTTGGGTGGGTGGGTGGGTGGGCAGACGCATATTCTTGTTGGAAACGATGCGCAGACTGCGGATACTAGCACTGTGCACTCGTTGCGCATGGAGTAGGTCAGCCACTGAATATCACACCACGGAGGCCGGCGACGTTTCACTCCTACAATAGATTCCGTCTCGTGCCAATCTACCAAATCCCCAAACCTCCCCCCCCCCAACCGCCCCCTCCCCCGCCAGTCCCCGGCGCGCGGAATCAACTCTCCCGACCCCAGCGTGAACCCGGTCTTCCACAACTGGCACCTCGTGCGCCCCATCTACTGCGACGGCGGGGGCTTCGCGGGGCGCGCTGGGTGGCGGGCAGCGCCTGGTGGTGGCAGCGCGGGGAACGGGACGGCGGGGGTGTACCTGGACGGGTGGAAGATCATCCACGCCGTGCTCAACGGTGCGCGCGACGGGGCCATGTGGGAACCGGGGGTGCAAGAATTTGCGGATGCAAGGGGCTGAGCAGCAGCAGCACATGCGGGGGAGTGCTTCGTTGCGCGCAGTGGGGGAACGGGTGGGCATGCAGAGCGACTATGCGAGGACGGGTGGAAGGTGGTGCGCGCAGTGCTGAGTGGTGCTGTGCAAGCCGGGGGGCAGGCAGGAGCGCGTGGTGTGTGGCAGTGATGGGGGTGCGGGGTTTTGGTTTGGCGGAGCAGCTAGGGAGGTGCGTGGTGAGAGGGGATGAATGCTCTTGACAAAGCCCCCACGCCCACTGTCACGCCTCCATGCATGTATGCACTAACATCGTGTGTCCTCTACCCTTCTCTCTCCCTCACACCCAGACTTGAAGCAGAAAAGGGGCATGGCGCGGGCAGCCAGCATTTTATTGACAGGCAGCTCAGCGGGCGGGCAGGCGGTGATAACGCTGTGCGACCGCGTGGCGCTCATTTTCCCGGGTGCCACCGTCAAGTGCATTCTGGACGCTGGCTTCTTCGTTGGTGCGTGCTGCGAGCTGGTGCACCTGCAGTGCTCACGGCCTCCTGGCCTGTGACGCCTACGGCTTTGGCGCTTAGTGTTCTCGTTGTTCTGGATGAGCCTCATGCATCCCCCTTCCGTGCCTTGGCTGCCTCTCGCCCGTCTTGCTGCCTGCTTTCTCATCTCCCATCTTGCTTGTGCTCTGTCCCCTGCCCGCGCCCATGCTCCCACCACGTGTGGCAGATGCGGAGGACCGTTGGCATGGGAGCACAATGGGCAGCATGGTTCACAGCATGGTGGCGCTGCATGCCATGCGCCTCAACCTGCACTGCACACAAGGTCAGCACCGTGGGTGGGACCGCAGCTACCATCATTGTGACGAGTGCAATAGCGTCATCCACTGTGCGGCACACACAATGATAAAACATGGTGTACTGTTGGTTCAACGATGGTCAAGACCCACGACGCATGTCAGAGCACACACCCTTTCTCTTTTTTCCCCTCCCTATCTTGCCCCCCCTCCCCATCTTTGCCCCCCTCCCCTCTCGTCCATCCAGCCTATCCACCAGCCGACCAGTGGCGGTGTTTCTTTGCACACCGCTCTCTGCGCTTCGTGTCAGCACCCCTGCTGGTCGTCAACTCGCTCTTTGACTATCGTGCACTCACCATCGGCAACCAGCTGCGCCCCACTGCCACCCAGGGCACTGACTGCCTGCGCTCACTGCTCAAGCAGTCAGGCGGCGACATCAAGACGATGCTCTGGAGTAAGGAGTGGAGGTTGTGGGGAGCAGTGGGGAAAGTAGGGGCCGGGGGGGAAATGGCTGGGGGAGGAAGGAATGCATGCCAGCCGGCAGAGAGGAGGGCGGTGCTGAACGCTGCATGGAGATTGCTGCGAGGCACAGATGCCGCGAGGAGGAAGAAAGGGACGCAGATAAGCAACTTCGTGACAGTGGCTGTGGCTCACTGCTCGCTCACAAGCCCCAAATGGACTGCTGTCACTGTGAATGGAACAAACTTGAGGGATGCAGTCACCAGATGGTGGTTCACCAAGGCGCGCAAGGTTACACCAGCTACTGTCGGTGGTAACGCCAGCTACAGCCACGTTGGCACTGCAGGGAAGAAGGGGTCCAGCAAGAGCGGGGGAGGCTCAAGAGCAGCAACGCAGAGGTACTCTCCAAAGATGACGCTGCAACGGACTGGCTCTAGAAGAAGGGAAAGACCGAAACAAGCAGCAGATATGCACGTGAGAGACGATTTGACACAGAGGAGTCGGCAGAAAAGTAATACCACTGCATTGGCTGTTCCACGTACGCCCTCAAGCACGAGGACAGGACGTGCCACAGGTACTCATTCTCCTGAAAGTGGCTCGGGAGGCAATGACTCCCTTGGGGATTCTTTAACTGACTGGTTTAACTCTTGACCTTTACAATGGGTATCGTACTTACCCATAGAAACGCCTCTTACCCCAACCAGGTTATTCAAGAGGCAGTATCTTGTACATGGGTCACGACTTTATAAGGCCCAGGGACTAATCTATTGTGACGTGGAATATTTTACATGAACCAGTACTCTACTGGTGTTACAGCTTTCTAGAATCGTGTTTCCAGCCGCCCCTGAACACAATGACGCCACCAGGGCCCTCGTTATCAGACACAGTTCGTCTGTTTGTCTGATTCTCAGAAGTGTTTTTAGGGTTTCATATGATTTTTTAGACTGTTGGTGTACATATTTGCATGTATTGTAGGCTAACTAGGTGCGGATTATAGACAGTACAACACAAATATAGGAACCCTGTCCTGCATGTGCCTCATCACTCATTCTCTCATTTTGACATTGTTGGGCTGAGAAAAGCCCTTAGGATCTTTCTAGAGACTAAGTCCCACCTGTTAACGTAGAAACGAATGATTACTAGAGGTGGAAACCTAGAACAAATACTAGTTGGTTGTACTCACTAGAAGCATACCTCAGTCTAGCCTATAACTTCTACATAGATAATATGTATAAGTTGACACACCCCCTAGGCTAGACAAGGGGTGAAACTAAACAAGAAGCAAACAGCTCAGGGCGGCACTACTAGTCCAACCACTGAGGCAGGGGTCTGGAGACCAGTCAGCAAGAATACAACCAAAACTGAAGCAAGCCAGGGTGGCACTACTAGTCCAGCCACTGGAGGTAAGGCCACAAGGCCAGTCTGACAAGCATATATAATAGAGAGTACACAATCAGGATCCTAACAGGGGAGCAGCTATAGGAACAAGACCAAGCTGTACACAGTGCCGCTGATGATCTTTAGGCGCAAGCGCCTTAGTAAAGATATCAGCTGTGTTGGCACCTGAGGCCAAGTGAACTACGCGGGCCTGGCGGCGCTGCTGTAGCTCGCGCAGGAGGAAGTACCGCAGCTGGATATGCTTCGCTCTGCCCTCAAGCCGAGGCTCCTGACACAGGAGTATCATGGCCCTGTTGTCAGCGTACAGGACCGGGGCAGAGCTAGGCCGCTCACCTAAGTCTGTGAGCAAGAAGGTCAGCCAGCGGAGCTCCTGTGCCGCCATGGCACCAGCGTAGATCTCAGCCTCACAGCTAGACTGAGCCACAGACGACGAGCGAGTGGATCTCCAAGAGATAACACCCGAACCAAGGCTGAAACAGTAGCCCTGCGACGACCTGAGCGTCTCAGCGTCGTCTGCCCAAGAAGCGTCTGTGTGCCCAGTAAGGACCACTGGCCTGCGTCCTCCTAGCACTAACCCCATGCCTGATGTACTAGCAAGATAACGCAAAACCCTCTTAGCGGCAGACCAGTGCTGAGGTCGGTGTCTGCCTGTAGCCACAAAGCGAGCCAGGATGCTGAGAGGGTATGCGAGATCTGGGCGAGTGCAAGTCATCAGGTACATGAGGCAACCCACCAGCTCTGCGTAGGGGCCACTGGGCTCTACTGGCTCCTCAGGAACGGGAGCAGAGAGCCCATGGTCTACGGGTAGAGGTGTGGGCTGTGCGGAGGAGAACTGAAGACCGAACCTCTGAAGGACCTGACGCACCAAGTGTGACTGGGTCAGAGTGATGGTGCGTGCTGCTCTGTCCCTAGAGATCTGCAGGCCAAGATAGCGACGCAGCTCTCCAAGGTCAGTGCAGGTGTGTCTCTTCAGCAGCTCAGCCTTCACAGAGGCCAGTGCGTCCCTGTCAGGAGTAGCGAAGACCAGGTCGTCTACGTAGACAAGGATGTAGAACGGAGTCTGGCCGGAACGCACAAACAGTGAAGGGTCAGCAGAGGACGGAAAGAACTGCAGGTCTGCTAACGTGGCACGTAGCGTGTCGTGCCACTCGCGGGGAGCCTGACGCAGGCCGTAGACCGGGCGCCTGAGAAGCCACTGGGTCCCAGGAGGGAAGGTACCAGTGAAGCCCTGTGGTCGGCGCAGGTAGACCTGCTCGTGTAGGCTGCCCTGAAGAAAGGCAGTAGAGAAGTCGAGAGAGTGAAGCTCGTAGTCACGCTGTGCTGCTACGTGTAGCAGCGCCCGAAGAGTGGTCATCTTCGGGGTCGGGGCGAAGGTCTGGAAGAAGTCAACCCCCTCGCGCTGACTGAAACCTCTGGCCACGTAGCGCGCCTTGAAGACAGGCGGCTCTCCAGGGGGGCGCTTCACCTTGAAGAGCCACCGACCATCGACTACGTTCACCCCAGGCGGGGGAACTGCGTCGACGTAAGTGCCGGTGGATCTCCAAGATGCCATCTCCTGCTCCATGGCAGCTATCCACTGAGAGGCCCAAGGTCCCGAGGTGGCCTCAGCGTAGGTGCGAGGGGTCGGGATGTCGAAGGCGTCTGGGTCACCCTCAGGGACTAACAGCATGGAGCAGAGATGGGGAGCAGCCTCGGAAAGGAAAGCCAGCTCGTACTGCCTGTCCTCTAGGACGTCACTGCCAAGGGCAGGAGCACCCCCGACGGACAGAGGACGGGCAGGGTCAGAGACCAGAGCGGTAGCGTAGTCAAGGCGGCGGGTAGAAGCGAAGTCAGCGACAGCAGCGACAAGCGCGTCAAGGCGCGAGACAGGAACAGCAGGGTCGGTAACAAGAGAGGCAAGGACCCGAGGGACAAGGGGACGAGCAGCACGGAGGTAGTCAGAGAACGGAGGAGGTGCAACAGCAAGGGACGAGGGAGGAGGGGACGGGAGGAGGGGAGGACGAGACGAGTGGGAACGGAGCAACATAGGGTGGGTGGGCAGGACAGGAGAGACGGGACGAGCACGGGAGGGACGGCGAGCCCAAACGTGAGACGGAGGGGTAGGGTCAGGGGACAGCGGAGGAGACACAGGAGGGGAACGAGGAGGAAGACGGGCCGGAGACGAGTCTGGCAGCGGGAACACAGGACCGTAGACAGGGAGGTCAGGAGGCGGTGGGGGAGACACCGGCGCGCGGTCCGGGGAGGGAAGGTCGAGCAGGCGGAGAGCGGAAACCGGCGGCGACGGCTGCTGTGGCGGCGACGACGGCTGGGCCGGAACTCTCGGACCAGCAGAGGCAGAACGACCGTCGGCAGAACACTCAACAGCAGCACCCCCAGAACCAACACCCCAAGAGCGAGAACCCCCTCCAACACCAGCGGCACCCCCAGAAGCCGCAGGACGAACACCCTCCTCCACACCAGCACCCCCAGGGGCCGAGAGCAGCGGCGGCAGTGGCGGCGACAGCGGCGACGGCTGCGGCGGCGACGGCGACGGCGGCGGCAGCGGGGTCGGCGACTGCGACAGTGGGGGCGGAGGCACTGGGGAAGGGGGACGCGGCAAGGACGGACCGGGGGTACCACCAGAGTCAGCAGACTCCTCAACGGGGACAACCGACGGGAGGGGAGTGACGTGGGAGACACCAGACGGGGCAGGACGAGGCGGGAGAGGGGCAGGGGCTACCGGGGGAGAGGGAGCAAGGAAAAGGGGGGGGGCAACTGGGAGACCTCGGTGAGGGAAGCGGCGGTAGAAGGAGACGGACTCGTCAAAGGTGACGTCACGAGAGTGGAGGAAGCGGTGAGACGGCGGGTGGTAGAAAAGCCAGTCAGACGAGTCCAGGGGGAAACCGAGGAAGACACAGGGGACAGTGCGGGCAGTGAGCTTGTCCGTGCCAGAGGCACGAACGTGAGCAAGGCAGCCCCAGACGTGGAACGCAGACGCGTCACCGGGGGACCCGGTCCAAAGGAGGGTCGGCGAAACCTGCGGCCGCTGGGAGCGTGGCCACAGGTTAAGCTGGTGAGCCGCGTAGCGAACAGCGAACGGCCACAGAAAATGGGGGGCATCGGCATGGATCATGGAGGTACGGGCGACCTCCATGACCAAACCGATGCGGCGCTCAGCAACCCCATTCTGCTGTGGCGAGTCCGGCAACGTGTACGACTGGGTGATGCCCTCCGCACGACAGAACTGTCCAAGCCGACCAGAGGCGAACTCGCCGCCACGGTCGGAGTGGAGACACAACACGGGGAGACCGCGGTGGAGACGCGCAGCTACAACCCACGGGAGAAGAACGTCGGGCACGTCGGCCTTCCGCTCCAGGGGAAACACCGTGGTGTAGCGCGTGTAGTCGTCAACGAGCACAAGGAAGTAGCGCTCACCGCGCGGTCCGGGGACGGGGGCAGGGCCCCAAACGTCCAAGTGTAGGGTCTGAAGGGGGGCAGTAGCAGGACGCAGCGAGGAGGAGTGAGGAGCACGGCGGAGCCGACCCTCGACGCAAGGCGTGCACGGTGGCGCAGTCGAGGGAGGAAGGGCAGGGAGCGACGCGGGGAGACCTAAGACAAGACCGTGCTGGGACATGTGACGCAGACGCGGGAGAGCAGGGTGACCTAAGCGGTGGTGCCAGAGAAGGGAGGGGTGAGTGAGGGACCGACACGAGCAAGCTGCAGCGACCTGGGAGGACGCACCAACCGGGGGGGAAGCGGTGTGTAGGGTAAACAGACCGGACACCGGGTCCCGGGGGAACGTCGCAAGGGGGGAACCTGAGACAGCCTCAGAACAGACAGCGAACCGCTCGTGCCCGGGGAACGTGGTGGTGACGCCGAGGTCCTGGAGACAGCCGACACCAACCAGGTTCCTGGAGAACGAGGGAACGTGGAGGCCAGTAAGGGAGCCCGAGGGAACTGCCGGACAGGGAAGGGACGTAGAACTGCGCGCGACGACCGGACCCGCAGAGGGGTCAGCGAGAGAGACAACAGCAGGTGCAGCAAGCGGCGTGAGCGTGGAACGGTCGCGGAAGAAGCAGGCAGAAGCACCAGAGTCGAGAGTGAAGGACAGCGACGCAGTGGCGGAGGCCGCGGACGGAGCCGGTGCAGCGACTAGACTAGGCAACCTAGGCAGTCCTACGCCTGTCGCAGCAGGGGAAGCTAAGCTACACAAGGGTGAAACACCTAAACTAGAGTACGCATGGTAGTAAGATCCATCAACACTAGAAGCGTCAGCATACAAAGCATGCAAAGCAGCACCTATCTGATCCATGTCTAACTCAAAGATCGGCACGCCCTGGCGGAGCAGGCTGTGCCAGTCAGGGAGGTCCGGGGCCGGGCCAAAGCGACGACGAAAAAGATCGTCGAGGCGGCGGAAACAGTGGGCGGTCGGGTGCGG